TGAGTAAATGTGATCTAAACGTGAGTGGTACAGTTTTGCTTACAGATAATTAAAATAAATCACAATTTAGCACTCTCCTGCAGTAAGGTGTGGTAAGAGGCGCAGGGCTCTTTTGGTCCAGCAGCATATATCTCATCTTGACTGGAATACATTTTACTCTACCTAGCATGCAAATGAGATTATCCAAATAATGAGCATCATTAGAAATTCAGTCCCTGATCTGTGCAATTATTTTCCATGTAAAGTGATACATACAGTATTGTCTTTCACTGAGTTTGTGGGGTATTTAACACATAGGGCTAGGTGTGTGTTGACAGATCATTTTGCCTAAAAATTATATGGAATCTATCTAAAATTTGCCCTTTTTTGCAGACTGTAATTTAATCTAAAAGACAGTTATATTTCCATATGAGGTATCTATATGGACTGTTAGCTCAAGAATACATGCATAAATTAACAGGCTGAGAAGTCAACCCACAGCCCACAGTTCAGCCTCTGATGGCTATCCTGGTCACAGCAGCTGCTGCTTTATTTTACATTTAGTATTCAGTGAAGCAGGGACTGCTGGAACACAGGATTCCCAAAATTAGGGAGTACCCTCACCACTAGGCTAGGGAATCATGTATTCTTGCAAGTAAATACTTATTATTTATGCAAAATGGCACAGCTTCAGCAGGAGGCATTGAGAGAATCTCCCTACCTCAGAATATATGGTAATCTGGTGGAAAAGGTGCTTCAGTTGAAGGGAGTGGAGTTTAAATTCCTCAGGCAGAGGGGGGAATTAAGCTCTGCTCTTCTGTGCTTTAGGTCAGGAGTGCTCGAGCCATGGCTTCCAGCCTATGGGATTCCCTATAGGTCAGTAAATTTGGCAGCAGGGGAGCACTGGCAATTAATACTGCCATCCCTTCCCCACCACCTGTGGAAGAATCCTGTTCCAGACTCCTGCTTTTTTTTTTTTTTTTTTTTTTTTTGGGGGGGGGGGGGGGGAGGTTGTTGCTTTTTTCCTTTTCTTTGTCTTGGTCTCCTCACCTGTCTGTTAATCTGGTTGCCCCAGGTTACGGTGTGCATAACCTGGGTCAGGTAAGAGGGTGTAGACCTAGCCTCTATTGTTTTGAGCTCTGACCTCATGACATGGGGGCAGGAACCTCAGTCTAAGTCAAGATGTGATGCTTTTCAAATTGGTTGGTCAGCATCACACAACACCTGCCCTTGATTGGGTCTAGAAGTTGAGGTCAGGAGGGCTATTTAAGATAGAGGCTCTCCAGGAAGACATGTTGGGTTTTTTACACAGCAACTTGAATCTCTGCAACTCTCCCTCTCTCTTCCAGGATGCTAAAGTGAGTAAATTACCAGAAACTTAACTAAAAAGGTAGCTTACAGTAATTTACAAGTGTATTAATTGGCTATCAGGCCAGTTCTGTTTGCTCAGGGTTATTCTTTTGATATTTCTCTGACTTGTACCCCTCCCAAGCCTACCCTCTCTACCCAATAAAACTATCCATTATAGCAAGCTTTGTGGTACATGCTTGAGTGGGTTTGGATATGCCCTTATGCTCCCTTTGCTGGGATGACTAAGGGAGGCTACTTTCTGTGCTTTAGGTTAAAGGAAGCACCCCAAGATTTCACAGTGGGTCAAGCACCCTCAAGGTCTACAAGGCCTGTGTACCATGGAAGGCACAGGGTCCAAACAAAGACCAGACCCCGGGTGGTGGCAGCGGTTACCCCAGGCTTACAATGTGCTCCAGGAAGGGGGCCAGCTTGACATAGGTGCCCCAGGGGAGGCATTCGAGGCTTGATTTTTGGCTGGGTGCAGTGAGGTGAGTGCTTCAGCATAGGAGTGCCCCCTACTGGCCTGCCACACCACCAAATTCCAAAGCCTCACATGGCAGATCAGAACTAAGCCATGCCCCCTCCCCCAGCATGGCCAGATCAGGGTTGGGCCATGCCTCCTTTTCTCCACAGGGCTGGCCCTACCCCCCTGATCCCCTGAGTCACTGGATCAGAGCCAGGGCACACTCCTTTCCACCTGCAGGGCCAGATCAAGGTCCCCTTCCACCATGCAGCTGGATCAGGACCAGGCTACACCCTGCCCCTTTTTACACAACCAGATGGGGCCCTGCCATGTGTGCTGGATTGGGACCACTAGCTGGATCTGGGCTGTGGGTGGACTGGGCACTGTCTGTCCCCCCATTGGGCAAAAAAGATTGAGCACCACCACTATAGGTGAATAGTCTAACTACTAAGTATTGGGTAAAAGGGTGGAAGAGGACACCACCATCTCCTATCCATCTTCCAAAAAGAAAAGCTGAAATGCTTAATTCCAGGAGACTTTTTGGCAATAGCATAACTAGGGTAGGGTAGCCAGAGCAGTTGACCCAGGCACCAACTTGGGAAAGAGGCAGAAACATATTAGCTGCTGGGAGTCTGGGCACCAAGTTAGAGACTGTGATTTCCACTAGCCATCTACAGCATGAGAAAGTTAGGAGTTGTTGTTCCAGCATCTGAATCACTTTTGTAGGTCTAGTCATGAAGCTTAAATTATCAAAGAAATTAAAGTACCTGAACCCTGTTGATTTCAATGGGAGTTGGATGTCTACATATCTTTGATTTGCTCCTAAGTGTGTACACAGAATTACAGGAAAAACAAAGCAAGAACCTTACCTCATACACATCTACCTGGCAAAATAATTTTACTGCAGTTCAAAGTATTGGGAAACCACTTCCCAGAGACAGTGAAGCCAACATAATATGAAAGTATTGCTAGCTGGGCAAGGACAAAACTGGTCTGGTGTGCAGAACAAAGCCTATAGAACCATGCAGATAGTGTCTGAAATGCTTATTTCACCTTAGTATTTAGAGGAATATGAATGAAGGCATAAAATTCACTACAGTTTCACAAAGCATTTGGTGCTGCAATGATGAGGACCATAGGAAAGCTCTAAAGGACATTAGTACTCCAGATTTGCATGCTGAACAGAAAATAAGGCACAGAAACTACACATTCAGTGATGAAGTAAAAAGATGGATACTGTATTTACTCAAATCTAAAATGAGGTCTCCCCCCCAAATCAGCATGAGGGGCAAAAACCTCATCTTATATTCACATACAAAGGAGAGGGGGGAGCAGGTGGCTTCTGTGGCTCTGACTGGCCCTGAGCCCAGGTTGGGGCCAGACTCAGACACACAGCAGCCACCTGATCCCTTCTCCCATCATTCCACTTGCCCTCTACGGCTTCTGGCCCCCACCTTCCCCTTTAGTGTCAGGTGTAGCTGAGTTCAGGCATGGAGCACAAGGAAATTTTGTCCCCTGCCCAGCCAGTCAACTGTGCTGGCACTGGTGCATGGCCCAGCAAGGGTTGAGCTTCCACAGGCTATGCTCTTGGAGGGAGCAGAGCCCAAGCAACATCTGACAGTAAGGTGGCAGAGGTTGTTGGGAGTGGTGAAGAAGGAACAGAGGCTATGGGGTGCAGGGGTTGTGGGGGGAGGGGGGCAGGAAGGCTGTAGGAGGGAAAAGTGGGAAGAACAGAGGGCAAGGGGGCCACCTGACCCCTCCAGCCACTATTTTCTTTGATGTAGCAGTGCAGGGGGTGAATTTACAACAGCCCTCCAATAATTAGATTTTACACCTGGAAAATGATAATAAATTTATAATTTTTTCATATATAGAATCTAATTATTGGGGGGTCATCGTAAGTCCAGGGTTGACTTAGATTTGAGTAAATACAGTGGTTGTCTCATTCATTGAACTATCTAGAGACTGAAATATCCTTGCTCTTTACCCTCAGCTATCACATTTTTTTATGTCTGTATGTGAATGAAACTGATGCCCAAAGCTTTCAAAACAGTCTCTCATATCTTAAACAGAGCCAAAGTAAGATTTACTTAAGATACATTGCAGACAATGGTCTAATTTTTTCAAGAGGCTGAGCTCTTCCTGAAATGACTTGAAGACCTTAAGCACTTGGGAGTTGAAAGCATGTGGTATCATATGAGACCATTTCTTGGTTTAGTAGTAATACATCATCCACTGAAACTGGAGGAAAATAGGCTGGGTGTCATGCAGCTTGATTCAAGCCAAAAAATAAAAATAGAAATCAATTCTGCAAATTTAGCCACTTAAATTGCATACTGCATACCCATGTTTGATTATTTAAATGAGCATATTTGCATGACCATCTACACAGTTTAAAAACCTGCCTGCTGATATGGCCAGTGAGTTTGCATGCTATTCTTAAGGCATTGGTGTTTGAAAACTGGGTGCTCCAAGTGAAATTCTCATCTCAGTTGCACCGGTATCAGGTTGAAAATATTGTGCTTGATCCTCAGGCATGGCTGAGCCCTGTTTGGTTCAGGATTCAAATTTTCCTGGCCAGGTGAAAGTGCCTAGGCCTAGAACCCTCTGAGTTGCTCTAAGTTTCACCAGCTTGATAACAACCTCTAAAAAGTATTTGTTAACCAAGGATTACGGGATTGCAGTGATACTTCAGCTGCAATCACCACACAAGTACAATACACTTATTCCACAGTATCACCCGTACAGCTGTACAATTAAACAAACTGCCCCAATTCTTTCAAAAGAAACACCATTCTGAAAAATATATGCCACTCTAAATCTTTCAAGACAGTATGATTGTATGTTCCTATTATTTCCATTGTTATTAAACTAAACAGCACAGCATTCATTAATTTACATATAGTAGCAGTATTAGCAGCAGTACGTTCATATATCTTGTCATGTAATGACAGCCAGACCTGCCATTTCACTTTCCATTTTCCCCTGTTGCTCCTAATCATAAAGGTGGTAATTTTTATGTAAATGACATAAGTGCACCAGTTGCTTTAGCCTGATTTAAGATGAGCTGTCTTTTGTGGCAAGATCTGTATTTCATTGATGTTGATGACAGAACTTGCCCCTGGACTTAAAAAGGGATCAGGATGTGGCTCTAGGAATGTGAAACGCTGCATACAATTCTTTAATAATCCTTGCATTTTCTTCTCAGGGGATGAGCGCTCCCGGGAATCTCCAGCCCCAGCAGAAGCACAAGTGCAAGCTGGGGTGGAAGGCAGTGGAAGAGTGAATCGCTGCTGTTGGAAATGCTCTGTGACCCAACTGAAGAAATTTTTCTGGGGAGTGGCAATGGTCCTGGGGGTCTGCTCTTCCTGGTCAGGTTCAACGCAGCTGGCAAAACTGACCTTTCAGAAATTTGACGCACCCTTTACTCTGACATGGTTTGCAACAAACTGGAACTTTTTATTCTTTCCTTTGTATTATATTGGACATGTTTTTAAGTCAGCTGAAAAGCAAACTCCAAAGCAAAGGTACAGGTAAGTAAACTTGACATTTTTGATCATGCTTTTGTGACACTTGAACATCCACTACGCAGACATTTTATTCAGGTCAGCTTGTTAAATCAGTCTTGCCTATTTTCCTCTTTAACACTGTTAAGATTCATTACTTAAGGCATGCAAGCTGTGAGGTTTTCATTCTTTTTTAGTATTATTATTCTTTATTTGAGTTTGTACTGACAATCAGAATTGCAGGATTATTTCCGATGCTGATATTACAAGGCATGTCATTGAAGTCTGCACCTTAATTTGTAACCTTGTAGGCATTTCCCATCTTAACTTGTTGTTACAACACTTATTGATTTAACTTAGTTCAGTGAAACTACCCAATAATCTTTGCAGCTAATTTTATTGTAATCTCTTGGCCACAGTGAGATGGCAGAGCAACTTCTTCCAAAACTAACCAGTTATATTATATTGACTTGGCACATCCCTAGACATCTAGGACTAAATTCTGATCCCAGCTATATTTGCTTGATCCCATTTATTTCAATGAGATAGCACAAGTATAAAGGAGAACAGAATTTGAGCAATAATGGACCTTCTTCATGGCCAAACCCCTCAGTGTGCGGCATATCATCTGAGTTTTTATTGCCTAGCTCCCATTAGCTTCATCTTGGGTTTAAGGATATTGTAGCAGTCTGTAAAACTTGACCTCATCTGGATTGCTACTCCAGCCTCAGGACTGAATCTTTCACTTTTCTTCCAACATTAGCAAAAACTTGCCTGGTAAACTGTCTAAATTCTAAGAGTAAAATGCCCCATGTTGCATAAGTATTCTCTCCACTATCCCAGTGGTGCTTTGTGTAGTTTGTTGCTATGCTGGAGTTCAGTATTACTTTATATAAATAACCTCCTGTAAGTTTGTGTTAGAAAGGTACACATATTAGTCTTAACATTACTTTGATATTTTTCATAAGAATTAGAAATCTAACTGGTCCCTGCAGACATGAGATGCCAGGGTCAGAGACCTACCTTATACTTGTGTAACCTTTCTGCCTGGCCGGGTCCAGTATAAGGGCTGGGCTATTTTGTGGGGGGTTGATTGGAGCCCCCATCCAGAAACCTGAGAAAAATCTTGGGGGTCCTAAAAGAACAACCCTCCCACTCTCACAAGCAATTTTGTAACAAGAAGAATATAGTAGTTTATTAAAGATGAATGAAAATAACTAAACCTTGTCAACCTCCAACCTCAACTGTTAAGTACCCCAGTTATCTAATATCCCAGAATACCAAACAACAACCTAAATGCCAAACAACATACCAACCGACAAACTCCTTGGGTCTCTTAGTTTCATTTACAGCCTCTTGGGATCATTGCCTCTCACCACATGGGATTGCTGCCGCTCAGAGGTGCCCACTGATGCTTTGGAGAGCACTGGAGACAGCTCATAGCTGTCCACTGCTACTTTGGGAAGTGCTGCTGAGGTCTCGATAGACACTCAAAATTGATGGTCTGACAAGTAAGATTTCTTCAGCAAACAAGTTTCCCTGGGCTCTACCAGGCTCACCCCCTTTAAGAAAAGAAAACCAGTGGCTGGCCACCCCACGGCTGGCCTTGGGCCTGGTCACAGTGAGCACCAACTTCTTGATAACCACCATACAACTGTCTCCTGCAGCCTCTGTGTGCCTTCTAAAAAAATTGAGGAGGAAAGGTGATCTGGCCAAAGATCTAACCAGTGACACAAAAATGAGGCTCCGTTTGGCCCCTTTCATTTACATGCTTAAGGCACAAATCAGTAGGTAGGCACAAACGGGCTCTTAACCTTTTGAACCTGCATCCTCAGTGAGGGTATGCAAATTTTTAAAAATTTAAGCTAGGTCACATGACCAACCATATCCATAAGGACAGTTACATTTGGAAATTTTAAAGCAAACATGAGGGCAAAGAAAAATAACTTAAGCAATTTTGTATCTGAGCTGTGCCAGTGGGACCCCAATGACTTCAACAATGTTGTTCAAGTCATCCAGACTTGGGATCCCAAGAGGTGTTCTGTATGCCTAGATCCTGAATTTAGGAGGTCACAGAAAAACTGCCAAAGCTCATCCATCCTTCAAACCACTACCTTTTCCTGTTTGTCCAAGTAGGCACCAACGGTATTGTCAGGAATGATACTGAGCAGATCAGAGGCAACTACAACGCTCTTGACATGAGGGTTAAGGAGCCTGAAGCACAAGTGGTGATCTGATCAATCTGCCCTGTGGAAGATGAGGGCCCAGGCAGGGACCATCATATCCTGGGAGTAAATGCATGGCTGAGATGGTGGTGTCAACGTGAAGGTTCCAGATTCTTTGACAAGGGGCAGATGTTCTGGGGATGAAGACTGATATGAAGGGATGGGATCCATCTGATGAGGACTGGAAAGAATATCTTTGGGCACTGTCTGGTCAACCTAGTAAGGAGAGCTTTAAACTAAGTTCCATGGGGGATGGTGATCAAAATCCTCCAGAAATAGAGCAAACAGTCTTTCCTCAGAGGGGAAAGAACCAAAAGGAGCAGATCAACTCTGGGAAAGGGCCACAGAGCCACAGGACAGCAAAAAGTGGTGCAAAAGAGAAGCTAATAAGTCAAAATGCAAAATACATTCAACATATATATACAAATGCAAGTAGTGTAGAGAATAAACAAAATGAACTAGAAACTGCATCTTGTGAAAAGAACCATGACCTGATTGGTATCACGTAGACCTGATGGAACAGCTTTTATGACTGGAATATCAACAGTGAGGATTATACTCTGTTTTGAAAGGACAAGTTTGAGAGAAAAGGTGGTGGCATTGCCTTGTATGTCAAAAACACATACACCTGTTCCCTGATTCAGGAGCAAGAAGACATGCATTTGTGTGAAGATGAAAGCTGAAAGATGCAGCATCAATATAATGTGGGGATTTATTACTGGGCACCAAATCAGGAAGAAGGAGTGGATGAGGCACTCTTGAAGGAGGTGACAAATCTGTCCAAAAGCAATGGAATGATACCGATGGAAAACTTCAGTTTCCCAGACATCAGCTGGAAGAACAGTGCAGCAAAATATAAAATGTTGAGCCAGTTCCTATCTTGTCTGGAGAACAACTTTCTGTTCCAGAAAGTTAAGGACACAACTAAGGGATCATCTGTCTTGGATCTTGTCCTGACCAATAAAAATGATCTGATGGAGGATGTGAAAGTGACGGGCAACTTGGGAGAAAGAAATCACCATATGATGGAATTCCAAATTCTGAGACAGGGAAAGCATGAGCTCAGCAAAATTAGGACGCTAGATTTCAGACAGGTGGATTTCAACCAACTCAGAGTTAAGAGGCGTGGTACCATGGGAAGACAGACACACTGAAGGCTAAAGTCATTCAGAAAGTCTAGGAGCTACTAAAGGGGACAGTATTGGAAGACCAACAAGAAACCATCCCAACATGATGGAAGCACAAGAAGAATGGCAAGAAACTAGTATGGCTGCACAAGGAACTTCTAGGGTGCCTCAAATGCAAAAGGAAAGTATACAACCAATGGAAAAATGGACAGGTCACCAAGAAAACATACCAGGAAAGCGCAAAAACTTTCAGGGAGAAAACCGGGAAGGCAAAATAAAGAATGAGCTGTACCTGGTGAGAGAGTTTACAAACAAGAATAGGTTCTGTAAGTATGTTGGCCAGAAAAGAAAGACCAAGGAAGCTGTGGGTCCACTGTTAACTAAGGGGAACTCTTAACAGAAGATGTAAAGGAGGCGGAGCTACTCAATGACTACTGTGCCTCAGTCTTCACAAAAAAATTAAGGTGCAGCCAGACACCTCATAAGGGTTATTTGGATAATGAAGGGGACAATTTGAGGCATGAGAGAACAAAATAATTGGTTAGAGAGCTTCTGATAGATCTGAATCATTTCAGGTCAGCAGAGCCTGATGATAAGGTACCAAAATTTAGGGGCAAAATTTGGAGGTTTGAGAGTACAGTATTACTGCACTCTTTTACATTTAACTACAAGTGTATATGATTTATTATTAACCATTTCAATGATTTTCTGTAATGTGTATTAACAATTTTAAATTAATAAACAGCTAAAGTACATATCCATAGAGCCACTTATCATCAAATAGTTAAGAATCGCTAATGTGTCCCATAGTCTTACCATGCTTTAATACTCTCTAGAGCAATGTTTTTTGACCTGTGCTCTGGGGATCCCTGGGAGTCTGCAGACTATGTCCAAAGCCATGGTTCTTAACCTGTGGCCCGTGGGATGCATGCAGCCCAGTCAGCACACTGCTACAGCCCATGACTAAAGAAGGCATATAGGCGGTGGAAGCAGGGGGAAGCTACCAAGGAGGAGTATACCTACTTGGCCCGCACTTGCAGGGAGGCAGTTAGAAAAGCCAAAGCAACTACAGAGCTGAGGTTGGCAACACAAATTAAAGACAACAAAACGTCTTTTTTAGGTATGTAGGGACTGAAAGGAAGGAGCAGGGTAACATAGGACCCCTACTAAACAAGAAGGTGCAATTAGTGACAGAAAGAAGGGACAAGCCTGAGCTATTCAACAAGTTTTTGCCTCAGTGTTCCTGAACAGGGGTCAAGATAAGTCTCCTAATGGGTTCTTAGATGGGCATCAGAGGGACACCAGCCTACCAACTGTCAACGATGACTTGATGCAGAGTCACTTGGATGGACCGGATGTATTTAAGTCAGCAGGCCTGGATGAGCTGCATCTGAGGGTACTGAAGGAATTGGCTGGTGTCAAAGCAGAACCACTGGCATGGCTGTTTGAGCACTTGTAGCACTCAGTCAGGTCCTGGAGGACTGGAAAAGGGCCAATGTGGTCCCTATTTTCAAGAAGGGGAGGAAGGAGGGTCCGAGTAATTATAGGCCAGTCAGTCTCACCTCCATCCTTGGAAAGGTCTTTGAAAAGATTATGAAGGATAATATTTGTGGAAGTCCAGCAGGAAAAATAATGAAGCAGGGCAATCAGTGTGGATTCGTAGCAGGTAGGTCAT